TATAATATAATATTATANATAATTAATAATATAATATATATANATTATATATATANATATATATATATAGTATATATATATANATANATATANATANACTACACACACACACACACACACACACACACACACACACACATATATATATATATATATGGTATATATATAAATAGATATAGATATACATCAACAAAATATTTGAAGCATGATGTTGACACTTCCTCCGAGTGCGGAACGTGAACTTGCAAGTATTAGGTAAGCATTTGACTTGTTTGATTATCACCTTCGTTAAACAACAGAGTTATTTACCACCATCTAGGGATATATAGTCATGATCTGGACTGATAACGCAATCTTCTCTACACTCAACATTTAAATATATGATCATATACTGCTTCGATAACACATGCACTTTTGAGTACACTCGTGTGGACTACGCGATGCTTTTGCTTTTCGTGCTATTTGAATAGTTCATTGACTTTATTCTAATTGAACCAAATATCTAACCAAGACTACTCTTCTGTTAAAATAATTGTTGGTAGATAAGCGTGTGCTGTGGAACTGTATTTAACCAGGTGTAATTTACATTTATCACCACCACCAGCACAGAGCGCAAGATATATGGAGGTTCTCGATTGCAACAGGGGCGAGATTGATCATAGTCGATGGATAGAGTTTTTATCTGATTGATAAATTAGTGGTGTGACTCTAGTTGTCAACGGTACATGGTTTGTCATAGCTATGTACTATATCCTGCATTTAATGAGTTCTCTGTATTTAGCCTGTGTGCATGCTGTATCTTTGCATGCTGTATCTTGTTGTTGCATAATATTTAACATATATTTATTGAATTTACTTATAAATTACTGAACTAAAACATTTTTGCACAAACATATGTATTGTCATAGCCTTTTAGAAAACATATTGTAGCTAGCTAGCTACGCGTCAACGGCCCCACGCCTACAACGAAGACAGTCAGACATACAGTGAAAGTATTTTTTCGGCAAAAATCCTGGAAAAAATAACTGTATGATGATTTCATTGGATATCAGCATAGTGATATGTCACCCCCCAATCAGAAACGTAAGGTTCTTTTGTTTGTGGTTCAAATTTTATGATTTGAAAAAAATAAAGATTGTACCCCTCATATCACAATGAACAACTGTCGAAATTCTAAAGTGGGGATTACCTCTAGCTGCCGTATCACACACACGCACACAGTAGAGCGTGTCGATGTTCCGTGTATACAATTCTGCTATAGTGTAAGGAGATTTGTAATGTGTTAACTGTTAAGTGATACTTGAATAGATTCTCGGCAATTGTGTAGATTCGTGTGTATAAATTCGCAACACCATCATATACTACAATATACACATACAGTAGTATTCCTACATTCGACAGCATTCCAATCATGAGACAAACAGTAGCTCTGGCCCTATTGGGTTCATTCATGAGCGTATCTGCTCAAAACACTCTCATTACATTATACCCTATCAAATACCAAATAGGCGGAGGCCAAGCCAACAATGAAGGCAAGTGTTGGCAAGCCGATATGGGGCGAAACATTATCAGTTTTGAAACATGCGATAAGACCCAGACAATGCAATCGTTTCAGGTATCCACCGACGGCCTTATTGTAGCTGGTGATGGACCGTACAGCTGCGTAGTAACCAGTCAGCAGTCTTCTACGGCTCTGTTCCTAAACGTATGCGATCCTCGAGCAGTAGGCCAGATATGGCAGGTAGATGGACCTGACGTGCCGATACCAGTACCAGTGAATCACGGACTGGCTATCTGTCCACGTCAGTGCGATGCCGTAGATTCCATTGTGTGTGGGTATTCGTTCAATCTTGATGGTGATCCAGTAGAGGGTAACACATGCACTCAGAACCCTGAAGGAGTGTATGAGAATATCGCATTCACAGCTACGATCACTGAGGCCACAGGCAGATACGAGGCATACAACCCTTCACCTGAGCCATCCACAACATCTTCCTCGGCTGTTGCAAGCGCAACCGATTCTCCATCAAACCCAACTGACACCGCACCAGCTAGTACAACAGATGGGGGTGATCCTCAAACTGAGCCTACAAAACAGCCCAACCAAGGAGAACTCAGGAACGATGACGGTACAATCTCGACTGGCCTGATCTTCGGCGTGACTGCGGGGATTATCGTATTACTGGCAGTTATTGCCTGTGTGGTGGGTATGTACCTACACAAGAACAGACAGAAGCGTAAAAATAAACGCAAGCTCGAAGGAGCCAACGGTACACAGATGAAGAGCATCCCGCCAACGATCCCTACTCTGCAGGTATATCCCATGGTGTATTCACAGCCAGCTAAAGCCGCACAAGGAAACACTACATCCCACTATTCGGGATCAGTAGCCAGCATTCCTGTCAGTGCCACGTACTCGCCCAGCCCTGTGTTCTCGCATCCGGCGGAGTCCCCGACGAGCATGCGCCAGCCCATGCCACCAGTGTCGGCGATGCAGCGCAATGAATCACCGCTTGCACATCACCACGAACTGTACCAGCAGCGAGCCTCAAACCGACTGAACCAGCTCAGTCCTAAGCCAGAGGCAAACACTACGTACACGCAGATACGTCCAGATGGCACAGTTGAGCAAGTTGCTGTGGGTGTTAACGTAGACGAGACCGAAGACGAGACCGAAGGCGAAAAGGACAGAGCATCAGAAACAACGGAGGTCACTCGCATGTCCGATACGTCCCTGAACGACACGAGTGCAACTGGATCGATGTATACACTGGACACGAACATGACGTCTGAGGCATCCGTGATACCCGGATCAACTACAATTGCCCTAGAGTGCCACCACGTGGAGGACGATGAGAATGTGGTGATGGTGGGCTCGGAGGAGCCTTTGGGCGACTGGGATCCAGCCATGGCTCCAGTAATGCAACGCCAAGTGCACAACCCGAACATGTATGTATTGACAGTGTGCAACGGGGATGATGAACCGATCCCGTACAAGTTCGCGCGGATTACGAAAGACCACAGGCGCGTGGTTTGGATGCAGGGTGGCAACTTACTGTTGGACCCCTCAAGCGGCAATCAGGAGCAGGCCTTCTCGTGGGTTCTGTAGTTGGCTCCGTATGTGGAGAAGCGTGAAGAGCGAGATGTGGGAGTACAAATATATGTATATACGCAAACATATGCAGGTACTTATAGATGCGTTCACATGTATATATATGGATTGGCATGATATGGTTAAAAGGTGCGATGGTGAGCCTACAATTCCTCTCTAGGGCGTAACTATGCTTAACGTGAAACGCGGAATATGCGATGCATCACCGGAAATGCTCACAGTTGGCGAGCATTAGGTCACCTACCTAGTTGTATAGATGCCTCTTTAGCGTATCTGCCACTGTTCAGTGTATAAATTAGTCAGCGCCATTTACGATGCTTAGTCTCGTAGTAGATGGCGTTGCCAAATTTGTACGGCAGAGGTAGAACTGCGCCATACGCGAAGCATGTATCTGGGATTGACACTGTTTTGGGTGCAGCTTATGAGCATAAAAAGAGAGAGGGGGGGGTGTTTTGTGTACACACAATACGGTACACAGTGCCGAATTTCTAGACTCCATCATATCAAAGCTAGAGGTAAAGAAGATGCGATTGAGGATTGTATGCCAAACACAAGATGGAAGTAGGTGTTTTCTAATGTCCAGTGGTGCAAGAGATATTACACGCGCGTTAGGAGGCGGGCTTATGTCTTGTGTTTGAGATCCTGTAAATATAAATTGTTACTTTATTTATGCCTCCGAAGCAGAATGTAGAATTCTTGACAACAACTTGATATCGGTTATGCAAAAGTCTGTGCTTGAGTGATGGCTCTTGTAGCATCAATTACTACGTTTCAGACTAAATGGTTACGTGCACACACCATACATACATGCATGTGTCTGTCTGTGAAATATTTCCAGCATCGACATCCCAATGGCATAACCCGGTAGTCTCATAAAAGCATCAAACATTCCCTCGTGCACCTAGCCGCTTGTTGTAGGTTAGTGCACAGAGGTTCCTCTATACACTACACAGCCTCGTCAGTGGCGCTGAAGCTGTCTATCATACGTACTCGAACTCGCGGGGTCATTCGTTGATATCCTTCTGATTCTCTACATAGACTTGGGCTTATTCGCTATTCAACTAGCATATAGTGTGTTGCTCGAATTTGACGCCGCCCACGGGGTTAATTTGTCTGCGATGGATTTAATATAGGGCTAAAGAATATGTCTATCTAGTGACTACCGGCTCTAATGAACAAAGTATAACTGCACATATGGAAGTCCATGTACCATTCGAGATTCTACTGGCTGGGCAATCGTACAGCCACCTATGAATGACAGACGCTATGACCATTGCTCACCTCTAAAATTGTGACAAAATGTCAAGGCCACAACAAAGCAGTATTGTCGTCTGTATCTCATAACATACAGAAGAAAAGCAGACGAGACGGTTTGCAGTCTCGATAAGAAGTAAATTGCCCAATTTGAAGTTTTGGTTTTGGTTACAAATGGAGATCGTGAAATTTATTTGGTAAACGGCTTGGCAAAACATGAATGATATTCGGGAAAAGACTCCCTTCCCCAATTCTGCTCGTTGCCAGCGATGGAACACACGAAGCATGATATACTCGTCCGCCTATTTAGCATCGCTCTTCATACCTTGTTGAAAGTATGGTAGGTTTTTACATCCAATAGAATACCTTACTACAGTTAGTAATTCGGATGCGATTTACATACTCGCCGCATACTAACCATTACAATACGCTGTTTCGACTGGATAACCTACGTAGCCTCCCTATGAGTTGGTTCACATCTCTGCTTCGACTTTCTGTAATTGTAAATAGTGTGAAATGGGATAAATTTCAAGAGATCACCACGTGTGATGAACATCACTATCTGTTCGGAAGCAAGATTTGTACCAAACTATCGACTAAGGTTTATTGAAACAAGATTTGTTCCAAACTATCGACTAAGGTTTATTGCAAGATTTGTACCAAACTATCAACCAAGGTTTATTGAAGCAAGAATCGTACTAAGCTATCGACTACGGTTTATTGAACCAATTCGATCGAATACTCAGTTGGAAATCACTGATGCCGTTGACAGATGTACAAATATGCCCATTTGTGAATTTTAGCAAAGCAACAATACTACAGCAGAATTCTTCATGATATCCGAGCCGAGCAGTTGGCAAAAAATATACCAAAGCTACAGTACATATATAGACAGATATTTGTGTGTATCTGGCTAACACACACACACACACACACATATATATATATATATACATACATACATACATACATACATACAATATATCATATAAAGTAATAATTACTATTAGTACCTAATTAACTAACTTACTAACTAACTACTAATAATATAATTATAGTATATATATAATATATATTAATATACTA